GGAGGAGGCAGGAGGAGGCAGTAGCAGGCAGGAGGAGGCAGGAGCAGGCAGGAGGAGGGAGGAGGAGGGAGGAGGAGGAGGAGGAGGAGGGAGGAGGAGGAGGAGGAGGAGGAGGAGGAGGAGGAGGAGGAGGAGGAGGAGGAGGAGCAGCAGCTAGAGCGGCAGCAGCAGCAGCAGCAGCTGCAGCAGCAGCAGCAGCAGCAGCAGCTGCAGCAGCGGGAAGAGGAGGAGGCGGAGGAGGAGGAGGAGGAGGAGGAGGAGGAGGAGGAGGAGGAGAAAGAGGAGGAGGAGGAGGAGGAGGAGGAGAACGAGGAGGGGAGCCTGAAGAGGGGGAGCGCGGAGCGCAAGGCTGGGTACAGCTTCGACAGCAACACGCAAGCCCGCAAGTCCCGAACCTTCTCCGCAAGTCCCGATACTTCTCCCTAGGCTACCGCTGTTCTCGGTCTCTGGGCCTGAGGCCGCATGGGCCGGCTGCGTGTGAGTTCATGCAGGCGCTATGGGCACCCTCCTCGGAGGCGCGCTGCGCGCGCGGCCAGCTCGGGTGGTCTGTGCAGGGCACAAAGGGCCCGAGTAGATGGGGCAGGAGGACCGCACCGCATCGCCGATGCCTCGCCGATGCGTCTCGATGTGGAGCCCGATGTTCTCCGCGCTTGCGTCGCCGAAGTAGCCTCCGATGCATCGCCGATGCATCGCCGATGTATCGCCGATGCATCGGAGATGCGGCGCGATCCTCCGACCCCATCTATTCGGACCGCATCTGGGAGGCCTCTAAGGTCCACTTCTTCATCCAGGTCATTTTTGACGGTCCCGGGTCCGGTAGTGTCCCCCAGCGACCGAAGACGGTGAACAAAGCCGCTTTGCCTTTTTTGAGTTTTCTAAAAGGATCACCGTGGTGGTTGCTGAGTGGATGTGGGGTTTACAAGTGGATGTGAAAATGAGTGATCTCTGTCCTTGAATTCCTAGCTCGTAAGTGGATTACAAGGGACCTAGTGGTTTGGGTGCGTTCGACGCCTCCGCTCAGTGGGTGGAGCCCACATCGTCCGGATCCTTCACTTCTGTTCCACTTATTGGCTAGGCTACTTGGATCACCGTGGCGGTCGCTGAGGGGATGAGGGGCTTACAAGATGGACGCCAATGTAAGTTATATCTGGCCTAACCTAGTTTATACGTGGGTTGCAGATGCCCTCGGTGGCTTCGGTGGGTTTGCAAATTCCGCTAAAGTGGGCGGAGCCTACTTTGCCCAGATCCTTATCCCGGGCACTTCTAACCCACTCATCGGCGAGATTCGGCCAGATATCACCCGCTTTGGCGTCCACCCCCTTACGCCATCATCATCAGAATCGTCATCATCATCATCATCATCATCATCATCATCATCATCATCATCATCATCATCATCATCATCATCATCATCATCATTATTATCATCATCATCATCATCACCATCAGCATCATCAGCATCACCATGATCCTCTTCGTCGTCTTCACCAGCACCAGCATGCCCGTCATCCTCATCACCGCCCTCATGTTCATCAGCATCACCGACGTCGCCATCGTCATCGCCACCACCACCATCACCACCACCATCACCACAACCATCATCCGACTCATCACCATCAGCGTCATCACCATCCCCCCGCGGCCCCCAAAACGCCGCGCACTGAAGGTCACTCTTGCCCAGGGCCACTCCTGCGTGCAGCCGATCTTATCGGGGTGGATTTTCTGCACTCTCCCCGTTTGCCTCGCCGCGGCTTCCGACGCGTTGCATGCGTGCACCCTGGCAGTTATGGTATCCAGCCTACCGCCAGCCTTTCCCACTCGCCGGCTCGGCCGCCGAGATGCTGCGTGAGGCTCCGGCCCACCGCTTTAGGTTAATTCGTCTTTGCGCGCCCCGCTCTGACTGGACTCGCCGCTGGCGCGCTCGCCTGCGGCCGCTGACTAAAAAAAGTTTGCCTCGCCGCCGACGCCTGCCCCCCCCCCCCCCCCGAGGAGCCAGCAGGGCGGGCCCCGCACGCCCGGGCCCGCGCTGCGAGCCTGCGGCGCGCGGCTCTGCAGGGGCTGCCTGCCTGGCCGCTGCCTGCGGGCGTCGCAGGGCGCGCTGGGCGCCCTCCACAGGCCAGGGGGCAGGTGTGGTTCAAGCTTGACGTCGGGCCTGTCCCTCTACAGGGGGGGAGATTCCAGAATATTCCAAAAATAGCCTGGGGGCGGTTTTTGGACCATGGTCGAGCATTGTTGGGGGGCATTTTGGGGATATTCCTGTTTCTCGTCCAAGATCCGCCTGTCGGGGGACAGGCCCGACCTGATTCAAGCTCAGAGGATGAAGAGGCACCCATACCCCTACCCTTCCCTCGCTGTTTCCTTTTTTGGGCCTCGTGGGCGGCCCTCGTCACCACCGCTGGATTCGCGTTGCAATTCTGGTCAGAGCGCACCCCAAGGAGAGGTCCGGGGAGTAGCGGTATCGGTACCTTTTTGCTCTCCCCACAAGCACCCCGAAAATACCAAAACGTATCGAATCGTTTCGAGCGGGCCAACATCGATACGGTGGGGGCGTTCGTTAAGGAATGTGCCCAGGAGGCTTCCAGCCTTGGAAATGGGTCCTTATCAAAGGAGGGCGGCTGTGATATCCATGGCCGATCCACGAAGGGAGGTCCACAGACGTTCGGACCCTGGATTCCTGACCTAAGGGTTCCTTGTTCAATGCCCCCCCGCCGTAATCATCGAATTGGATCAGCCGGATCTTAGCGGGCTTTTGGGTGGGCCTAGCAGGCAGATCAGGACGCTTTGCCGCTGCCAGAAGACGAAACAATGGTAGAGACATACACTTTTGGAGGTCCGCGCGGATTTCTTGGACCTGCGCTGGACCCCCTTCCCTGGCGCGCGCCAGGTCTCGGTCGCAAGTCGTGGAAGTTTTGTTTACTTTCGCAATTCCGTCTTTCGAGTGCGTTAACGTCGACCAGCGTCTGGTAATCGATGATCTAGTGTCGCGTTTAGCGTCGATTCGTGTCGGCTAGCGCCGGGTAGCGTCGATTTAGCGTCGATTAGCTTTGATTCACAAGAGCCAGCAAGATGGTGTGGGAGACTCCCATGGGTTGCCGCAGAAGTTGGTCACGCAGCGGCGAAGCGTCCCAGCCTGCCTAGAGTATAGGCCCACCATAGAGCATGGCCAATCTCGATCCGACCGATCCGGTTCGATATCGATTCTGGCCCGCTCGATCGAATTCGATACCGATGTTTGGACGGTCCGGGGCGGCCCGACGTGTGCATGGCGCTGTTTTGTATCCCGGCGCGGCCGCTCTGATGCATGTTCGATGCCGTGCCGACGCACGCCCCGGTCCCATGCAACTCTTGGGATGTGCAAGCCTGGCTCGGCGCTGGTGTCCCTGGTCGACGGCTGGCCTGATCCGGTCCAATGGCGCCTTTTCGGGCGTGATCCCGCTCAATCTGGCTTGATCCCGCTTGATGCCGTTCTGTCCCAGGCTTTATGTTGCCTGACACGGTCCAATGTCTTCCAAGCCCAGTTTCTTGGCCCTTGCTCATGCTGTCGAAGACCTCCCAAGAGTTGCCTGTGAACATCGACCCACCAGAGAACGTTCTAAGTACATTATATGGTTTGTGCGGAGTGTTCTCACGAGCATTTTTGGTTGAGGCAGTCTTGTTTCGACACATCAATTGTGCGTTCTAAGAACCTTGGTCTTGTTATGAGAGCGTTCTTCTGTTCGAAGAACATTCTGCGGTAGGCCTACAGGACTGCAGGGATCGGTCCTTGCTAAATTTGGGGGGAATGGACTCGGGGGTTCGAGGATCGAGGTTCGCTGATTGCTTTTGATCTGGGGGACCGCAATTTTCCAGGTTCGAGGTTTTCCGGCGTTTTCGTCGGCTCTCGGCAGTTGTCCAGCCTCGGGATGCCTTTCCAGGGGCTGTGCCTCGTCGAGGACGTTCCATTCCAGGGGGGCCCAGATCTTGCCGAGCAGCCGCAGGGGGCCGAGTCACGATCCGAAAGGGCCAGGGTGCAACGCTTCGTTCGGCAGCAAGTCATGGGAGCCCGGCATACCCTCTCAATTCCGCCTTTATCGTCGGTTAGCGTCTGGGGGTCGATGGTATAGCGCCAATCTAGCGCCGATTAGCGTTGATTTCGCGTCGACTAGCGTCGACTAGCGTCGACTAGCGTCGATTAGCGTCGATTCGCGGGAGTCGACAAGGTGGTATTGGAGGCTCCAATGAATTGCCACGGAAGCTTCAGGGGGATAGGCTCGTGGGCGGGGGGGATACGTCGATCCCCGATCGCCCATTGATCTCGCAGGCGATGCTTCTATTCCAATCCCCGACTTGTGATCTTTTTCAGGTTCATTGTTTTGTCGATCGGCGCGGGCCCTCGCCCCCCCTTGTTTCTAGCAGGTGGAGCCTCCGCGACAGGACGCACTGCTGCAAACAGTCGCATGAAGCCGAGGTCTGGAGCCAGACCCCCCCCCTCTCCCCTCCTCCGCTTTCCGCCCAATGTCGAAACGCCGAATAACAGAACGCTCACCTTTCGGACGAAAAATGAAGCGGCTGAGAAACGGAGGGGAACCCTGGGATCACCCCCAGGGGGCTATTCGGACGCACCCCTCTCCAGGATGGGCGCCCCCCCTCGCAATATCCCAGGGTTGGGCCCCGGAGTGCTGGTCCAGTCGAAAACCCCACGAAGCCTGGGAGTGGGGCCGACATGCCGCCCGATGTGATGGCGGGTAGGGGCCTGATAGCCACCCCGCCTGGGAGCGTGCGTACTGCGAAGGTCCTACGGCCGGTGCCGCCGACCCTGAATGGCGACGACGACGACGACGAGCGCTCTCGGGGGCCTCTTGGGGGTAGTGTGGGGGCATCATGGGAAGCTCTTGGGGGCCGCTAGGAAGCCTCGTGGGGGCCTCTTGGGGCTCCTGGGGGTCTCTGGGGGGCTTCTTGCGTATTTGCTGTCGGCCGCGGCGCGGCCGCAAGAAAGCCTCGCGAGAAACCCAACCCTGAAAACCCGCGCGCGAGGTGAATCCGAGGGGAAGCCTGGAGCACCCTGAACGCAGCAGCTTCTCTGATGGCCGCGGGAAGTCACCGCGCTGCGCGCGGAGCGAAGAAGCCCAGGGTACCCCGAGGAGAAGCATATGGTTTCTTCGTGCGCGCTCCCACTGTGCGGGCCCACGATGCCTGTGGTAGGGGTCGACAAATCCCATGCTGCAATCGCCGATGGGGGCCTGATGGCCCGCCCCGCCTCGCGTGTCGCTCCTCCCCAGGAGGGGGAGGAGGGGGGAGGGGGAAGGAGGAGAGGAGGAGAGGAGGAGGAGGGGGGAGGAGGAGGAGCAGGAGGAGGAGGATTAGGGGGGGCCGGAGAACGAGGAGGAGAGCAGGAGGAGGAGGAGGAGGAGAGGAGGAGGAGGAGGAGAAGGAGGAGGAGGAGGAGGAGGGGGGGAGGATCGAAGTTGCCCACCCTCTTGAGCTGGGCCCACCCTCCGATGTTGCCCCTCAGGCTGGGCGAGGGCAGGGTCGCGACATGGCTGCTGGACCTCATCTTGGATGCCAACATGGGGCTCAGGGACAAGGAGCCCGGGGAGGAACAGGTACAGTCGGCCCAGATTAGTAGGTCGACCCTGCCAGATCAAGGGTACTCTTGTGTCCTGTGGTTCGCGACCCACGCTGTCTACATTCCTACGGCGATGTGGCCCCCGGAAGGGTCTTTTGTCCTCTCGCGTATCCTCTCCAATCAAGCACGACTCTACGGCAGCTTCGCGTCGTGTCGACCGGCGGCGACCCCGCCGCCGACGTTCAACGTTGAACGTCGCCGGCGGCCCAGAATCGGTCGATGTGGAACGATCTGACGTGGCGGAAATTGTCGATCGTTCAAGGTTGAACGATCCCCGCAGTGTCAGAAACCGTCGTCGAGGTCGGCACGGTACGAACCTGTCGTACCCGTGTCGATGCAGTCGAAATCGATGATAGGGATGGGTGACCTTCCCAAGGGTACCCCTTGCATCTTTGCCTCTTCGGTCCATCCTTGACCACTTTCGATTGCCAGCCCCGCTCGCAGAGCTTCGACATGGGCGTACAAGGGGCTTGCTTGCACCCTGACCGTGCATCCTTACTCTGAATTTTTCGGAAGGGAAAAGACAGACAGACACAATTCGTCGTCGATTCCCCAGAAAATATGGGAAACTCTGGGAGGGGGGGGGAAGGCAAAGACCCAGAGAATAGGCGCAAAATGTGGGGATTCCTGTTATATGTGTCTATTCATTTGTGTGTCCTCGGGCCCCTTCAATTTTGATTGTGCCGATGCCCCTCCGTCGTCTCCGCCTTCTTGTGGGGGGCCTTAGGGAGGCCCTCGCCACCACGGCCAGGCTCGCCGCGAAGTTCTGGTCAGACCGCGCCCCGGGGAGTGGTCTCTGGGGAGCAGCGGTGTCCGTGTATCTCAGGAGGGAAAGAAACACACATACACAAATAGTCGTCGACCCCCATGAAAACATGGGAAAATATGGGAACTGGGGGGGAACGCAAAAGCCCCGGGAAATTTGGAAAATGTCGGGAATCCTTTTTTTGTGTCTATTCATTTGTGTGTCCCAGGGCCCCTTCAGTATCCCCCGCGGCATCAGCTGCTATGTTTTGTTTGCTTGCTGTTCTCTTTGTTTCTAATACCAATCGTATGATGATCCTTGTCGTTATGATTATTATTGCCGTTATCATACTAGATACTCTGGGTAGCAATAGTCTTATTAGTATTACGATTATCATTGCTGTTATTATCAATCCTAGTTTAGTTGTTTCAACATTCTTGCTATTGTTAGCATTGTAAGTATTACTGCTTGTGTTCTCTAAAAGAACAATCCGCGGCCCCAGAGCTGCCGCACCCGCAGATGCACTGTTGATGTCCTGGGGCCCGACCGCGGTGCCGAGAGCCCAAGCCGAGGAGACCTGCCCGGCCTGGGTCGTTTGGCCTCCCCGGAGAGGAAACCGCACGCTATGCGCTGCTGCTGATGGCGGCTGCGGCGGTCTCCGCCGCCAACGCCTCCCTGCTCTGGTCCCCTGTTTCCAGAAGTGGGGCCTGGGCAGGGGGGGCTGCGGGGGATCGCGCGCACTGCCGATGCATCGGCGAGGTCGGAGGAGGGAAAGGTACTCTCGCCACCCTTTGCCCGTGTTCCCCCTTCTGGGCCTCCTGGGAGGCCTTCGTCGCCGCCGCTGGATTCACCTCGAAGCCCTGGTCAGAGCACACCCGGGAAGAGGTTCGAGGAGCAGCGGCATCGGTACGTGTTTGCCTCCCAGGAGGGGTCGGAGTTGATGGGGGAGGATCGCGCCGCATTGCCGATGCATCGGCGATGCGGCTTGATGGGGATCCCGACGTTCTCCACGCCGATGCATCGGCGATGCATCACCTTCGGGTTGACCCAAAAGGGGGTCCAGCGACAAGGGGGTGGTGCAGTAGATTCGGTGCAAGAGATTTGTGTGGTTGCAATACATTTGGGGCGTGCAATACATTCCAGGGCGCAAATAAATTGCTAGATTTTCGCGTGCAATGCATTCGTCGCAATACAATGCAATCCACGTCTCTGGCGCAATACATTTGCAATACAATTGCCCAAAATCTATTGCACCACCCGCTTTCAGCTGGACCCCCTTTGGGGTCACTCAAATACATGTGCATCGCCGATGCATCGGCGATGCGGCGGGATCCTGTGAGCCCATCTACTCAGACATCCAATGTCGTTGTTTTTTCTCAGCGTAGCTCCCCAGATGTCAGTACCAGGGCTGGACCTAAACGCTGTTTTGCTGGACTTCGGCTGTGTTTTGTTTTTTCCGTTTTGGCAGGGAGGTACAGGAAAACAGGTAGAGCAAAACGGCCAACAAATCGAACACAAAACGAAAAACAACGTTTAGGTCCAGCCCTGGTCGGGACCTCTTCCGTATAACCGGTGCTTCCTCCCGAGCTGTGTTTTTTTGTTGACGGTCTCCTGGGAGCAGGCGATGGCCCCTGGAGAGGCCGAAAAATGCGAGCAACAACAACCTGCTGCCGTGCTTCCTTCTCGCCGAGGCATCGCCGAGGCATCGGCGCTGCGGCGGGGCCCTCCGGCCCCATCTGCTCCAGGCCTCCCAGATGGGGTCGGAGCAGATGGGGTCGGAGGATCGCGCAGCATCGCCGATGCATCGGCGATGCGGCTCGACGTGCAGCCCGAGTTGCCACGCGTCGACATCGCCGAGGCATCGCCGAAGTCGACGACGACCGCGGGTGCACTGCCGTCGCATCGCCGATGCATCGCCGAGGTGTCGGCGCTGCTGCGCGGGACCCGCCGACCCCCGTCTGCTCGGACCCCACTTGGGAGGCCTCTGCCTGGGATCACCGCCGCGGTTGCCTAAGGGGATTGGGGCGGGTGCAAGTGGATGCTAAAAGTAAGTCGTGCCTGTCCTTTACATGAGGAATATTCACAAAATGGTCAAAAAATAGCCTGGGGACGTTCTTTTAACTATTATTGAGTTGTTGTTTGGGCACTTCTGATTTCTCGTAAATAATCCCCCTGTAGGGGGACATGCCTGGCCAAATGCTACAAGGTGTGTAAAAGCTGGCGTGAACTCACGGACGAGTGGGTTACAGGTGCCATCGGTGGCGTGGGGGGGTCGAGAACTCCGCTGAGTGGGCGCAACCCACTCAGCGCAGACCTTCAGCCACGTAGGTGACTTCTCACCTTTCCATAAGCTGTTTTAGGCTAGATATCATTACCCATCTCACCAATCCAACCTAACCCGAAGGCCCCAAGCGGCCCTCCACTCCCAGTGGGGGGGCATCCTGAAACATGGGAAAATATCATATGGAACCCATATCACCCCCAACCCGAAATTGGGGACTTTAGGTTGGGGCTGGGGTGGTCTGGTTGTAGGTACAGTCAACCCGCATCGTAAGGATGAGCGATTTTTCAAGGCTATACCGTTGCATCCTTGCCCCTTCGGCCCTCCTTAGCGACTTCCGTGGGCCAGCTTCATTCGAAACACGTGAACATGGCCCTCCGAAGCCCCTGCATCCTTACCGCGCATTCTTATCATACGGGTTGACTGCAGTCAAGGTGAAACCCACCTCAGCATCCCCTTGTAACCCCCCCAACCCGAAATTGGGGACTTCGGGTCAGGGGTTGGGGCGGTCTGGTGGTAGGTAGTCAAGATCCCAGACCCCCGACGTCATGATTTTTTCATGACGCGACCCCCAGAGGGCTGGACCATTCCCCGGGACGGGCTTCTCATCCTGAGTCGTTTTTTGACGCTCCCGAGAGCAGGTGAGGGCTCCCAGAGGCCGAAAATGGTGAAAACCTCCCGTCCTGATTTCCATGACACGAAGGGGTCTGGGATAGAACCTTCCTCCGCATCCACTTGTAACCCCCTTGTCCACTCGGCACCCCCCAGATGGGGTCGGAGTAGATGGGGTCGAAGGATCGCGCCGCACCGGTGATGCACTGGCGATGCATCGGCGATGCGGCTCGATGTGGGGACCAGTTTCCTCCACGCCGACGATGCCGATGCATCGCCGACGTCGCCAGTGCATGGTCGATGCATCGCCGATACATCGGGGATGCATCGCCGACGTATCGGCGCTGCGGCGATCACCACTGCACGAAGACGCTCCGGCTCCAGCCAACCCTGGTCCGCGCAGCGTGGGCAGAGGAACAACGCGCCGCATGAGCGCAAACTTTCGGAGCTCGTGGGGAGGAGGGGGAGGAGGAGGAGGAGGAGGAGGAGGAGGAGGAGGAGGAGGAGGAGGAGGAGGAGGAGGAGGGGGACGAGGAGGAGGAGGAGGAGGAGGAGGAGGAGGAGGAGGAGGAGGAGGGGCTCCTCCGGCCCCATCCTGCGCGGGCCCTCCGAGAGGCCCCTCTTTGGTGATCCGGCCAGGTCCACGCCCGGCGGCCCCGGGCGGCCGGAGGCCGCCTACCTGCTCGCCACGCTGGCGCTTGCCCTCGGGTGCTGCACGACCAGCCTTAGGTCGGGCCTGCCCCCTCTGCAGGAGGAGGATTCCAACAGAGCCCAACGAAAATAGAATGGGGACGATTTTTACCTAACAGCGAAGACTGATAGGTTTCTAGTGGTCTCAAAAGAGCTCACAGATCACTCCACAGGGGGGTCCGGGCAGGTGTTGGGGCGTTTCTGGGCGGCATGAGCCGGGCTCGTTTTCCACCAACAGTCACACACTTCGTGCTCTTCGCCTTCCCAGAACTCCATTCCCAGGCCACATTCTGGGGGGCCGGATGCAACAGTCACACACAAAGTGCTCTTCGACATCCCAGAACGCCATTCCCGGGCCACATTCTGGGGGGCCGGATGCAACAGTCACACACTTCGTGCTCTTCGAGTTCCCAGAACGCCATTCCCGGGCCACATTTTGGATGCCCGGAGCCAACTGTAGGCCACTTCGTGCCTTTCTATTTCCCAGAACTCCATTCCCGGGCCACATTTTGAATGCCCGGAGCCAACTGTAGGCCACTTCGTGCTCTTCGAGTTCCCAGAACTCCATTCCCGGGCCACATTTTGAATGCCCGGAGCCAACTGTAGGCCACTTCGTGCTCTTCGAGTTCCCAGAACTCCATTCCCGGGCCACATTTTGAATGCCCGTAGCCAACTGTAGGCAACTTCGTGCTCTTCGACTTCCCAGAACTCCCATTCCTGGGCCACATTTTCAGCAGGGGCAAGAGCACGACGAGGAGGAGGACGAGCAAGACCAGGAGGACGAGGACGAGCAGGAGCAGGACGAGGAGCAGGAGGAGCAGGAGAAGAAGGACGAGCAGGAGGAGGAGGAGGACGAGCAGGAGGAGGAGGACGACCAGGAGGAGGAGGACGACCAGGAAGAGGAGGAGGAGGAGGAGGAGGAGGGGGAGGAGGAGTACCAGGAGGAGGAGGAGGAGGAGGAGGAGGAGGAGGAGGAGAGGAGGAGGAGGAGGAGGAGGACGAGGAGGGAGGAGGAGGAGGAGGAGGGGGGGGGAGAGTACCAGGAGGAGGAGAACGAGGACCACCAGGAGGAGGAGGAGGAGGAGGAGGAGGAGGAGGAGGAGGAGGAACACCAGGAGGAGAAGGACGAGCAAGACGAGGAGGACGAGAACGAGGACGACCAGGAAGAGGAGGAGGAGGAGGAGGAGGAGGAGGAGGGGAGGGGGAGGACTACCAGGAGGAGGAGGAGGAGGAGGAGGAGGAGGAGGAGGAGGAGAGGAGGAGGAGGACGAGGAGGAGGAGGAGGAGGAGGAGGAGGACATTGCCGGGCAACATTTTGAATAGCCAGACGCTTCATATTCCTTCCGCCACAGCTGTGTTTGGTTCAGGACTTGCTAGTGACACTGCAGTCCTCTGCATTCAATTGGCCACTACATTCATTCACTGCAGTCCACTGAGTTTTGATTGCAATGGCGTTCCCCTGGCCGTACCCCCATGTCCAACGTTCATCCGCAGCCTCTGCTCCGCGAGGCTCGTCCGAAGTGTCGCCGCCTCGCGGTGCTTCTCAGCCTGCGCCGCCTCGCGGTGCTTCTCAGCCTGCGGAGGAAGGTGGACAGACGCCTGGTTCTGGCGCTGTGCAGCCTGCGTCTTTCACGGTCGCCTCGTTCAATTTCGGGTTCGAGCAGGGCATGATGACTGGTAAGCAGGCGGCCACTCACTGCGCTAACTTCGGAAGGTTGTGCGCCAAGATAGTGGAGACCGCTGATGCTGATATGGTCTGTGGCTGCGAGGTCGGTGCGTTCCGTGAAGGCTTTCGCCGAGCAGGGATCAACGTGACAGAGATCCTCAGTAAGCCTTTCGGTGATGGCATTCGCTTCTTGGAGGTCGACAACTACTTGACTCTCTTGGGGGTTCCGCGGTGCTTCTCAGCCTGCGGAACTGACTCTGTGCGAAGACAGCAAAGTTTACAGGCCTCCTAGCGGCCGAGATATTGATGCTGTTATTTCACATTTTGAGGTGAACAAACCAGGCCATGACAAGTTCCACGTGGTGATCGCCAACATGCACATCGTGTGCGGCAAGAAACCACCGAGCATCCAGACTCGAAAGCGGACAGTTCGCCATCTCCGCTTGCACCTGGACGGCCTGGCCAAGATTCTTGAGAATCTAAACGAGGCAGTCGTTGTGCTTGTAGTCGGCGACGACAGCCTCACTTTCCAGGAGGCGCGGGAGGCTTACCAGCGCGAGCAGAACGACGAGAAGGTATGGGAGGTCCATGCCACTCCGGCCGACCTCAAAGGCGACCACGTCGCGGTCTGCGGAGCAGTCGCCCGTTTCTGCTCCATTGCCGTTGGCGCTTCTTTTACGGATCGTGGCATGCGCAACGACGCACACGATGCGGTGGCGGTTGTGCTCACTCTCCCTGGTGCTATTCAGCCTGGGGAGAGCAAGAGGCGGAAAATTGTCGTCGAAAACGTCTCCGACGCCGACGTCAGCGTACAGGCGGACCGCGAGTCTTCTGTGCATTGGGATCGGTCGCCGAGTTCTGCTCCTCCGCTTTCACCGACTTCACCGGGTGATCCCGACTACGTCGAGGATGTCGTTCAGAATCGCGCGGACGACTTGCACAGGGAGCTGAGGAAGCTTTGGGACGACAGGTACGACGAGGAGTACGATCCGAAAGTCCTCCATCATCTCAGTCTCTTGCTTTTCAAAAAGAGGAAGTCCACGGAGCCAGCGGACACTGATCCAGCTGGCGCTCCTCAGCCTGGCTCGGAATATGACGCGGCCTTTGCGTCTCAGGAGGAGACTGGCCGAGCCATTCTCTCTGTCCTTAAGCTTCGACATGACTTTCTGCGGAGCAAGAACATCGACGACATGCGCTACGTTCTCACGGAGCCTGAGCGCCAGGAATTGGTCAGAGTAGCTCGCGACCAGTACGAGCAGTCGCGGCAGCAGCGTGCGCTTCAGGAACGGGATATCGAAAAGGGAAAAGCGAAAGGCAAGTCTGCGCCACAAGGGGGCCATGCGGTTCCGCAGGGTCCGAACAAAGGGCCAGGCGGTAAGAAAGGTTCTCACGGTGCTTCTCAGCCTGCGGGAAAAGGTGGCCAGGCCAAGGGTGCAGGTCTGGGTAGCGTCGCCAAGTTTGTGAAAGACCAGAAGCGTAAGCGGTGGCATCGCCATTTGCAACGTGTGGCCGGTACCAAACAGATCTGGGAGGTGCTGGCCTTCTCAGGGCGCTTCGACGTTGATTGGCTAACGCAAGCGTTGCAAGCTGATCACAGTGAGGGCCGTGATGCAGCAGTTCCCGAGGAAGCTCTGCGGCAACAGCGGCGCCGGCTGCACCACCAGAAGGCCGAGGCCATCGCGCGCTACAACGAGGGGGAGCGGCTTTCCCTATATCTGTCTGCCCAGGCTGGCCAGGCAAAGCCGAACTTCACGCGCAGGCAGCAGGACGTGTTGCAGATGTTTGAGAGCGGAGCGCTGCTTCAAATCCGCAACCAAGCGATTCTGGCGTGCGGGCACGGCCGTCTGTTCAGGGGCGATGGCGACTACCTGGACATCGGCGGCAGCACGGGCGGTGGCTCCAGGCGCATCATCGATTCTTGGCAGCCGCCGGACTGGCGTGACTTCCTCCAAGACGATCAGGACATCTGAGTTTTGCAAGTCTCTCTGCCCGCGGTGCTTCTCAGCCTGCGGTCTGCCGCTCTCCAGCTGCGGTCTCGAGCAGTAGTGTTCGAAAGCATGCGAGTTCCTGCGGTGCTTCTCAGCCTGCAGGTTTCGCAGCCTGCGCTCTGCAGTACAAGTGCTTTTCAGCATGCGACATCCTGCGGTGCTTCTCAGCCTGCAGGGTTCGCAACGTGCGGTTTGCAATGCATTCCTTTTCAGTATGCGAGTTCCTGCGGTGTTTCTCAGGCTGCAGGGCTCCGAGGCTCTTCGCTTCGATGCCATTGTTTTCAGACACCGTAGCTCCGTTCCGTAAACGTCTTCCAAGAGCCGCTCGCAACCTTTTGCAGCTGGCTGTCTGCACGCTTCGCCGGCTTTTGCTGCGCGGACACTTTTCACACACACGTCAGCGCCGTTTGTAGGCGTCAGAAAAACATGTAGACATTCACGAAGGGCTCAGTCTGTATATCGTCACATCATTACATACGCAGTCGTCGAACACATCGGTGTACATTCAGCTCTTTGTCCTTCTAGCTGGGTTGCTTCGTGCTGAGGCTGAGGCTGATGCAGGCTGAGGCTGAGGCAGGCTGAGGCTGAGGCCGAGGCTGACGGCAGACTGAGGCTGAGGCTGAAGCAGGCTGAGGCTGAGGCAGAGGCAGGCTGAGGCTGAGGCTGAAGCTGAGGCAGGCTGATGCTGAGGCAGGCTGAGGCTGAGGCTGAGGCTGATGCAGGCTGAGGTTGAGGCAGTCTGAGGCTGAGGCCGAAGCTGAAGGCAGACTGATGCTGAGGATGAAGCAGGCTGAGGCTGAGGCTGAGGCAGGCTGAGGCTGAGGCAGGCGGAGGCTGAGGCTGAGGCAGGCTGAGGCTGAGGCTGTGACTGCGACTGCCGTTGCCACTGCGACTGTCATCGCGAATGCGACTACGACTGCGAGAACAGCAGAACTCTACAACTGGATTCTCATTTGAATCTTAAGGGGAATGCTTCCAGATATGCTCCTACACATCGCTGTTAGGTTGCTTTGCCGGGATAATTATTTAGATTCTTCTTCTATTTTGATTATTTCTCATTTAATCGCTTCGCTCATTCCGCCGGCCCTCGAGCGCTCTAATGGGCCTCTTTGAAGCCTCTTGGGGGCCTCTTTGGGGCCTCCTAGGGGCCTCTTGGGGGCCTCTTGGGGGTCTCTTGGGGCTCCTTGGCGGCGTCTTGGGGCCCCCTTCGGCCTCTTGGGGGGCTCTTGGGGGGCTCTTGGGGGCCTCTTGGGGCGGGGTAGTCGAGTTCACCCCCCTTCGGAGGCCACAATCCTCGTGAGGGGTGTCGAAAAAAGGCCCTCAAAACCATCTCTGAGTAGACCTTCCCGGGCTGCGGTTGGGGTACTTTTCGCCGGGGGACCCCCAGGGGCCGCCCCGCGCGCGCGAATTAGAAGAATTGTTGACCAGTTACCGGAGATCTTAGCAC